TATCTCAAAGAGATATCTGTACTCCCTTGTTCACTGCAGCACTATTCACAATAGCCAAGACATGGAAACAACCTAAATATCTGTTGATAAATGAATGGCTAAAGAAAGTATGGTATATATATGTACAAGGGAATATTATTCAGTGGTGAGAAAGAAGGAAATTCTGCCATTTGCAACAACATGGATGGACCTTGATGGTATTATGCTAAGTGAAATAAGTCAGACCGAGTAAGACAAATACTGTATGACCTCACTTATATGTGGAGTCTAAAAATATGGAACTCATAGAAACAGAGTAGAATTGTGGTTTCCAGGGGCTGAAGAGTAGGAGAAATGGGGAGATATTCGTCAAAGGGTACAAACTTTCAGTTATAAGATGAATAAGTTCCATGGATCTAATGTACAACATGGTGAATGTTGCTAATGATACTGTATTGTATACTTGATCGTTGCTTTGAGGGTAGAACTTTAATGTTCTCACCATTACAACAACAGCAACAATGACAACAATAGCAACAAAACAGTAACTATGTGAGATGTGTTAAGTAACTTTATTGTTTGTTTGTCCTCTTCCAGCGAGTGCGCAGCTTTGGGAGGGACACACATGCAGCAGTAAGGGAGGAAGGGGACAGCTGCCTAGCCAGCCAGATCAGTGGAATCAATGGTGATCCATGGGTGATCCATGGGTGACAAACGTCACAGCCAGATCACCTTCACATCCTTAAGGAACTTTATTGTGGTAAACATTTTGCAAAGGATACCTGCATCAAATCATCACATTGTACATCTTAAACTTACTTGATGTTTTATGTCAATTATATCTCAATAAAGCTGGAAAAAGAAAAGAGTAAATGAGAAGCTGAATAGATGTTTCACAAGTTGTTTTTTGTTTGTTTGTTTGTTTTGCCCAACTGATGTCTTGTTTTGCACTCTAATTGGTTTACTTATGGCACTTCCCAGAAAGTAAGATATCATTCATTCATTTATTCATTTATTCCACAAACATTTCCTGAGAACTGGATATATGACAGGCACTCTAGTGGGTGATACAAGAGAATTTACAATCTAGTAATATAACCCACTGAGGAGCAACACAAGCATAGATGAACAAAGAGCTTCCTAATATAATCCTCGTGTTTGTTTCTCCAAGTAACCTTAAAATAAGATGTAAATTCTGGAGCCACACTACCTAATCTTGATCTCAGTTGTACCACTTTCTAGCTTCTGGCCCTTAGGAAAATTACTAAATCTCTCTGTCTCAGTTTCTTAATGTGTAAAATTCTAATACTTTCCTTATAGAGTTGCTGTGATTAACTAATTGGGTTAATAAACTGACTTAATGTGAAGATTTTAGAATCATGCCTAACATTTAAGAAGTAGTCAATAAACATTAGAATTATTCTTATTATGGCTATTAGTATTATTTTTACAACCACACAGTCATAAAAATCCTCTCCACAGATAGCCTCCCGGACAATTATGATTTAAACTCCCTTTCATATTATTTTAATCCCTTCCAATTCTCCTCCTCTTCTTTAATTCCCACAGAGTTCTCTCATTTTAAGATACATTTTCATGGCTATTTCTGCAATCAGAACATTTAGCAGTTTGGTGATGAAATCAGGGCAGTTTGAGATGTCACACTCTAACTAGTTACACTGCACAAAGCCTAACAGTTTGCTTTCTGTTTTTAAAGAAGCGTTTCATTTAGCCATACTTGTGGCGGCACATGTAATTGAAAAGAGGCATATGGAGACCAGCATGGAAGCCTAACAAACACTTCAGAGTGGCTTAAAAACTATGCTAATCAGTTTGGGAAACGATGTTTTAATCTTAAAAAAAAAAAACAAAACAAAAAACCTCCTCAAACCTAAGGTGACTTTTAAAGAAATGTAATCATTGTCAATATCACTTAAAACTGATTTATTTCCCTCTGCCCTGACAAATGTTGAAAATAAAATTGAATCATAGAAAAAGGAAGAGAGCACCCGTGACCTGTAGTTTTGTGGCACAGAAATGAACTTGTAAAGGCAGTAAGCCGGGACAGTGGTCCCATGGTCAGAGTCAGTGTAGACAGTCTCTCCTACAGGACAGGGAGAAGGGACACGGGCTCAACAACACTCCTCCCCCTGCAAGAAAGCGCTGAGCATTACCTGAAAACAAGGAAGGCATCAGATGAACAGACCTTTATAACAGAATGTGCATCTGCCAAGACAAAAATACACCCCAAGCTTCTGGTGCTGGCGCGCTGACAGTATGAGCAAGCTGTCTTAGTAGTGATTTTGCAAATCATTTGAGTTTAAATTCTATATAGGCCGTAGGGCCCCTGGAGCATCACTTTCTATATTTGGCCTCCTCATTTAGCTATGTTTGGAATAAATAGGCTATGGGTAAAAACCATGCCCTTTAAGAGTTTTGCATACACAGACTAATTCTGCTTATATATTATACGTGAACAGAGTGATTGATGTAAGCCTATGCTTACACACACACGCACACGCACGCACACGCATGCACACCCGCACACACGCACACACGAGACTTTCTAAATGTATTTTTAAGCTGTTTTCCTGTGACTTTTTCTCTCTCTTTTTTTAAGTTCAGCTCTCTGGCATTTAGTAACCCACAAGCTGCTGTTTCTTTTTCCAAATAAGTTCAGCTTGATGGTGGGGCCAAGAAAAATGAGCCCAACTGATGATTGCAATTTCAAAAGAAAATATGCTTTTTATCAGAGACCACATGTTGCCAATGCCAATTAAAGCAAAACTGGGAGATTTTATCAGATACCAACCTGAAGAGGAGAAATGATAAGCCAAGCATAAGAAAGGAAAAGTTTAAGGTTCAGGTGGAATTGCTGGGGATGCCCATTTAAGAGGAAATGTAAAAATTTAAGGTGGAAAGTATAGCATATGTTGCAGATTTAGCAGTTTGTTAACCATCTAGATAAGAAATTAGACGAAGGCAATGTGAAGAACTTTGATTCGAGGCGATCTGGTTGAATCCTGGCTGTACCCACTGACTACCTGAATCACCTTCACCTCTCTGAGCCTGTCTCCCCATTTATAAATCAGGAGTCACAAAATTTTGTTTGCATTTTAAAGAACGATAACGTGGATGAAAATACTAGTTTCATAATATTTGCTTGATAAATGTTGAAAGAGAGAAATTAATTCATTAATTTCTGGACAAATGCTTCAATAAGATCTTTTTTTTCTTTTTCTAAAGTGTTACACAACCATTTAGACACATGCATCTTGTAAATGTATTAAGTGTGTGCATTATTTTATTGTCTTTCAAAGGTTGGTAAGGAGTACCACAGTTATGTGACATGTTCTTATAGTTTTATTTCTGACATCAACTAATAATATATTCATGAGATCACCTGATTGCACTCCATAGAAAAAGAATCACCTTTTCCACTATTGGAAGGTGCAAGGTGTCAAGGTTAAAAGGTTCACTTCGGTTTATCTGCCTTGGTTTCCATCATCCCTAAAATGTTTATGCCACCCTTAAAAAATTATTGTGAAGGTCAAATGAGAGGTATCATGAAAAATTGCTTGTATCCAGAATATAATAAAGGTTAGCTCCTTTATCCTTTTCCCTCAGGTGAGTTGAGTAGCTTTTATATTTTTAAGAAGTAATAGGAATTTGTTAAATGAATGGGCCATGGTCTTTAATCTGAAATTCTCAGATGGAGAATTTTTAATCCTGAAAAATGGGTACAAGTGCTGAAATTCTCAGATGGAGGCCTGGGAATATTTTTGCACTCATCAAAGTGTTGCACTGAGAGATATTTTTAGAACTTGGTGAGAATGATTATTTAAAATATAACACCATGTAGGATGCGGTAATTATGATATAAAAAACGGGAATTGAATATATATTTTTCAAAATAAAACTTGTTCTTTATGTAAACCTACCACTGCTCACTTTTATATCTTTTCAAAGTTTATAGTGAATAGAAGAAGATACTTGTACTATACTCACCCATGATTATTTGAATATAGTATTCCACTGATCCTAAAGTTCTGGAAATTGTTCATCCCTTTCTCGAAAGATTCACTATACATATTTGTATGAAGTAAGAGACCAAGGATCCCTAACTCAAATAAATTTTTCCTTTTTCTCCATAGGTATATAATTTAAAGCCAATTAAGGAATTTGGAGTTTCAGGAAGCAGATAACCAGGTCATAAATGTACTATCCTGACAAAGCCGGAGGCAATGTCAAGGTCAATGAAGGAAATGGGTTTGTATTAATGTGTGATTTCAGCTCCTCATATTTGGATCCAATCATAATAATTGTGTGCTTTTTGCCAGCTTTCCTGGGTGTTCAGCTCTCCCCGCAGAGACTGAAAGTAGAGTTAGTTACAAGCTCAGAGGACTAAATATGCTGCAGCTGGATTATAACTTTCGTTGAAAAGAACATCAGTTGCTTGGCTCAGAAGTTCTTCTGTATTTTTCTATTATATAGACACTTAAGAGTTTTATGCCTCTTCCCACATAGCTCCAGCTTTTTGAAATTGCAGACATTATCAAGAAAACAATATAAATTTCATTTATACCATTCATCTGAGTTAGTCATAAAAAGAAACAGTTACAGTTGACCTTTGAACAACATGAGTTTGAACTGCATGGGTCCAGTTAGACCTGATTTTTTTTTTTATGAATACAGTACAGAACTGCAAATGCATTTTCTCTTTCTTGTGATTTTCTTAATAACATTTTCTTTTCACTAGCTTAATTTATGCTAAGAATATAGTATATAATACATATAGCATACAAAATTAGTGTTAACTGATTGTATATGTTATCGGTAAGGCTTCTGGTCAACAGTAAGCTATTGTAGTTAAGTTTTTTGGTGGTCAAAAATTATTTGTGGATTTTTGACTGGGGAGTCAGTTCCCCTAACCCCCATGTTTTTCAAGGATCAACTGTATTTTATTTCTACAAATGTGGACTCAAGTTAGGTACACACAAAGATAATATAATATTGCTTACTTTTCAAGAAATCTGGACATTGCTGTTATCAGCTGCTGAAGAGTTTATGTGAACAGAATGTAATTTGTTTTCACAGGGTGCATATGTATGTGGCTCTCTCTCGTTCTCTTATTGTTCATCTTTATTATTTCCTGTGTTGGTAGACTCTGTTAAAAATAATGAAAGCACACTGTTAACATAATTTTTATTGTAGAAAAACAAAAAGCAATCTAAATATTCAATAAGGTTAAACTTATTATGAAACATTATATAATATTATTATCTATGTGATTAATGTTTTTAAAATTTGACTTACAGGTAATTCTAAAAAAAATTATTGGGTTGTACCTCACACCTATTAAATTAATTTTCAGAGAAAGAACAAGACAATCTGCATTTTTAAGAAATAGATCAAGTAATTTTGGAGAATGTTACACTAGAATGTAAGCTTAGAGTGAAAGAAATTATAGTGCTACTATAATGCTCTGTACATCATAAGTGTTCAATGAATTTATGCTGAACAAATGAATACATTATTATCTTCTTTGGAAAATGTGTTATTTTCAAGAATGAATGAAAGTATATAAAACACCAAAAGGTGCTCTTGATATAATATTGGATGAAAATAGACAATAAAAAATTGCACGCATTCTAAGGCTACAAATATTTAAAAAGGATTTTTTTTTTTTTTTTTTTTTTTACAGAGAGAGAGAGTATGAGCAGAGGGGGATTGGCAGAGGGAGAGGGAGAGAGAGAATCTTAAGCAGGCTCCATGCCCAGCGCAGAGCCCAATGCAGGGTTTGACAAGGGGCTCAATCTCACAATCCTGAGATCATGACCTGAGCCGAAATCAAGAGTCGGTTTCTTAACCAACTGAGCCACCTAGGGGCACCCTTAAAAAGGCATTTTAAATAGAAAAAATAACGCCAAAAGCATAATCTATATAAGAAACAAAATTAGGGGTGCCTGGGTGGATCAGTCAGTTTAACATCAGACTCGGTGTCAGATCAGGTTATGATCTTGGTCATGGGACTGAACCTCGCATCTGGCTCCACGCTCAGCACAGAGTCTGCTTGTCTCTCTCCCTTCCCCTTTACTCCTCCCCCTCTGCTTCCCCTCCCCACCCCACTTGTGCTCTGTCTCTCTAAAATCGATCAATCAATCTTTAAAAAAAAAAGAAAAAAAGAAATAGAATTTCACCAGAATTAAAATCTTTGCAAGACTCTCTCAAGGAAATGAGAAGACAGGAGAGAAAATATTTGCAAATTAAATACCAAATAAAGTACTTTATCAAGAATATGAAAAGGACTCTTAAAACTTAACCATAAGAAAACAAACACATTTTGAAATAGGCAAAAGACTTGACTAAAGAAGATATCTGGATGGCAAATAGCATAAGAAAAATGCTCAACAGCATTAGTTATTAAGGAAGTGCAAATTAAAACCACTATGAAATACTACTACACATATATTAGAGTAGCTAAAAAAAAATAGTTGACAACATCAAGTACTGATGAAGATTCAAAGTAATTAGGACTGTCATACATTTCTAGTGGAGATGCAAAATGTTAGTCTCTTTAAAAACAGTTTCTCAGTTTCTTATAAAGTTAAACATACACTTACCACATGGCCCAACAGTCCCACTTCTAGAAATGAAAACTTATTTTCACACAAAAATCTGTACATGCATGTTTATAGCAACTTTATTTATAATCTCCAAACACTGGAAACAATGCAAATGTACTTAAATTGGTGAATGGTACACTGTGGTATAGTCATGCAGTGAAATCTTCAGCAATACATTAAAAAAAAAAAACAATTATTGATTGATGCAACCACATGGATGAATCTCAAATGTATTACGCTAAATGAAAGAAGTTAGGTACAAATTGCTACAACCTGTATGATTCTATTTATATGATGTTCTGGGATGTGTAAAACTATAGGGACAGAGAATAGATCAGTAGTTGTAATTGGTAAGGGTGAGATGAAGGTTTGACTCCAAAAAAACAGCATGAGGATTTTTTTTTTAGGGTAACAGAACCATTCTGTGTCTTGATTGTTATGATGATTATGTAACCCTAAGCATTCATCAAAACTCAGAGCTATACATAAAAGAATAGTGAGTTTAAAAAAATAGTGAGTTTTATTGTATGTATACTTAAAAAAAAGTTAAAAAAAGAAAAAAATAGAAGAAATGGAAGAAACCCTAAAATTAAAGACAATAATCATTGTGATATGGTAGTGAATTTCTTTTTTGCCTTCATTTTCCAAATATTTCTCTGATGTGGTTGAAATAGTTATTTAAGTAATAAATTATTTTTGTATATAAAGTAAAAGACTTCATAATAACACTATGTTTGATTAGCAGAGTCATGTGTCCTTTAGTCTTCCTCATAAATTAACATTGCATTTGCTTTGTGGAGTTAAGTGTTAGTTGTAATTGGGTCTATATGGCTGCAAATCAACAGACTGAGAAAAAAAAGACCTAGTCAACCTAACCGATATTTTTTTATATGACAGCCATCTGTTTAATTGCTATATTTAATAAAAATATAACCTTTCTCTGTATGCTGCTTCTTTGACCCAAGCTATTTGCCTCCCCCTCGTGTCTGCTCCTCCCACATCCACATCCATACACATACCTACATGTAAACATTGCCACATACACTGAGACATACTTCCAACTTAAAAAATCCCTGCATATTGTTCAATATGGTTTTGAAGTTATCTTTCCTGGAGTTCTCCTTTGATTCCTCTGCCCAACCTCCTTCCAAGGATTTTCCCAAAAGGCCCCTTCTCTCTGTCTGCATGGTAGAGTTCACATGAATTTATCACATTGTATTAAAACTCTCATTACAGGTAACTTGATACACCAACTAGATTATAAGATTTTTACAGAAGGTTGTCTAATATATTTTGATACCTCCACTAATCAGACAAAAGCCTAGAACATGGTAGCTACTAGATACATTTTTATTGTCCAGCCTGAATCAAATACACTTACTGTTTTAGTGGGTATTCTCCCCATAATTTTAGTCTTACAAGCAATCTTTTCTTTCATTTTTTTTTTTAAGAAAATCTTTTTTAAAAGGGAAAAATAATCCCTCATTGCTACAAAAGGGGGTGGTTGGTATATGTCTTGTTTGAGTTGAATAGATTCCTAGAGCCATACGCCTTGCTGGGTTCATCCATTGATTACCAAGCATGGGCAACATCCTGATAGCTCAAGGAAGGTATGTTGTAATAAGCCTTTCAACAATGTTAACAACATGGCTGCTTTCTAAGACCTTGTCAGTTACATTATTTTGTTATTCATGAGAAGAAACTGTTAAGGAACCAGGTAGAACAGGTTCAAATTTCACAGAAAATAAAAAGTTAAATACTAGACAGAGATTTTGTAGAAAACATATAATGTTAGTTTATAGGTAACATAATATATCTTCTGGCCTCCCAAAGAACACAAGATCATAAACTCATAAAATCAAAATGGTTGTAAGAAATCCACCATCTCATCCCATTATTTTATTTGTAAATTAAATCATATTCACACTTTATCCAGCTGGTTAGTAGCAGAACCATAATCAAAACTTACAGTCACTGAAACATACATGATTTAGTAATTCTTTTGAATTTTAAAAATAAAACAATGAAAAAAATAAGAATGTATGAATATACAGTATGAGCTACTTGCATGTTTTCTAAAACTAAAAACAAAGCCTTAATGTGTTTTTGATTCCTACTGCTTGCATCCAATATCAAGGGTGGAATAGCAACATTGCCTTTTTAACTAATTTACTAGTAATATTTTCTAAAGTACTTATAAAAAGTTTGAAGAAGGGTGATTCCCAAGACATAAATTCCACAGTTCAAGGATTCTTTATCATAGAAATTAACTTAATCCTATTCAGCAGGACAAGCAAAAGTCTAACATTTTACCAAGTCCTGCCCTATAGTAGACAAAGAGAAGCTTGACTTGCTAGTATTATCAGTGTTTGAAATATCAAAAAGACAAAATCTTTATGTATAAATTGGAAAAAAATGTCCAACTGACATCCTTGAATCTTACAATTCCATGCCACCAGTTGTCAACAAGGATGACTTACAAGCCTGTTAGCACTGCATACTTTCAAAGACAGGTGGCCAAGGAACCGTAGCACAAACAAGCTCTACTCTCTGCTCATCCTGTGGAAACATCTACTCAGTGTGACACTTGCATTTGACCCATAAGCAGAAAGTTACACCTGATACAGGGTGACCCCATTAAAAATAAATACCTGTCCCTTCCATCCCAAGCTTCCTTGGTTTAGCAACACAGTGTCCATTAAAGATATTACAGGGGAACTCAATCACTTGTCCGAAGGAGATACTGAATTAAAAAGTGCTCTGGGGGTAGAGGTAACATCTCTATGGATAATAAGAGACCCATCAGACTCAGCTCAAGAGACTAGAAGTGACAAAGCCAGTCCCTATTGACCATCAATTACCACTAACTAAAATAGCAACCACGTTTCTCAGAGAGACACTGTGCATTCCGCTAGGTTTTCAGCTTCAGCCTCAGTTCATGTCTCCCAAGCCCCACTGCCCTTGAGTCTTATGCCCATTTGAACTTCCACAGAGATGATGGTGGTTCATATAGTTTTGATTTAAAAATTCAAACATGCTTTTCTGTCACTCTTTGTGGAAGAAATACTCTTGTGTTTTCTTTTCTTTTTTTTTTAATATAGAAATTGGATTAAACAGCATGTTTTGCAAGCAGATAGGAATGCTAATTAAAGGACAGACTTCACAGCCACATAAAAGCAGCTTCGCACAAAAGTCTTCTCATTCCATCTCAAATGTGGTGTTAACGACTTGGTCAGACAGAGCTTGCATGAACTCTGCTCACTAAAGATAGAACATCAAATAGTCTTAGCAAAGAAGAGTGAAGTCACAAATTTAAGTAATCATCTCCTTACATTTCTATTACGATTGGTGATATTTGATTGGTATGGGTGAAAGCTAATGTCTTGATTACAGATGCCAGCAAAGAAAGTGTTAGAGAAGACTGGGTTTGTTCTGAGAAAAGCAAAAATATAATGCTGAAATGTGATCTGACTGCTGAAATTTTAATGTACTTTTTGTTATTGCTCACTGGAACAAAAGTTTTAAGCAAGAGAATATCTTA